CCATGATGTCTGCCTAATTTTTTCTATTTTTAGTAGAGACAGTCTCCCTTTTGTTTAGGCTGGTCGCAAACTCTTGAACTCAGCAATCCATCTACCTTCACTTCCCAGAGTGCTAGGATTATAGCCCTGACCTATAAGCCTTTTAAAAAACTTCATTTCCTTTACTGACAATAAGCAAGTTTGATAACCAGGAAGGAAGAATATGTATGTTACTTTTTTTCTGCTTTGCATTTGAAGTGTCAATGATCACGTATATTACTTTTGTAGTCACCCATAATAAAAAAAAAAAAAGTTGAAAAAAAGACAGGGGAAGGCCAAGAAACAGTGCATACCAAAAACTATAATATCAATCCACTCCATCTGCAAATGATCATGCAGTATAAAACAAAACAAAACATCATTTCAACCCAGCACCAACCCAACTAGACGATCGCCACAAATGTGAGCAGACATTCTAACTGAAATTCAAACGGTGCACAGACAAGAGCTAACAAGCATAGGACCAGATGAATCTTTTATCATTTAAAGAAAGATAAGTAATATAATGAAAACATAGAGGAAAAGTGAAACTTTTAAAAGCAATTTATTTTAAAATTCCATTAAAAAGAAATAAATGTTTAGAAATCTTTTGTTATCTTCAAGAGGATGCTAGAAGACAAAACATCTGAAAGAGAAAAGAAAAGGAAAATAAGCTAATAAGACTAGAACTAGATAAGAAGAAAAAAATAACAGGATAAGACTTAAAGGGAAGTGGGTAAAGCAAAAGGTACATATTTCAGAGAAGAGTAAGAATTCCATATCTAAAAAACTGACATTAAGGAAAATTAAGTCTTTCATTTGAGACCCAATTTCAAGATTTCCCAGAATGGAGAGGGGAAAAAAATGGGGCAGTGCCTATGGCTCAAAAGAGTAGGGCGCCGGCCCCATATGCCGGAGGTGGCAGGTTCAAACCCAGCCCTGGCCAAAAAAAAAAATAAAAAAAAAAAAAAAAAAATGGTGTGAAAAATAAAAAAAAAAAGGGGGCGGTGCCTGTGGCTCAAAGGAGTAGGGCGCCGGCCCCATATACCGGAGGTGGCTGGTTCAAACCCGGTGCTGGCCAAAAAATGCAAATAAATAAATAAACAAACAAACAAACAAACAAACAAAACCTGGAGAAAAAAAGCCATTGGCCATCTAGGGTACCTAAATTTCCTTTTTTTTTTTTTTTT